GATACTGATACTACAACTAATAATGATAAAAGTAATGATAATAGAGACAGTGATAATGATATCAATTATGATAATACTGAGAATAATGATACTAATAACAATGATCATAACAACAACAATAATAATAATAATAACAATCATAATAATGATTGTTAATAACAGTGGCAATATCTATTAAAATATTACTGATAATGGTAATATAATCATAATAATAGTGATGATGATAATAATAATAATAATGAGTAATGATATTAATAAAAATGATGATGAGAATAATACTAATGGTAAATAGTGGACTAATGGATAATAATACTAATGGTAAAATAATAATAATAATTGAAATAATACTAATGATAATAATACTGATAATAACAGTAATGATAATGATAATAGTGATAATGATATCGATACTGGTGACGATAATAAAAATTATGATAATAGTGATAATAATAATAATGATAATAATGATAACAATAATAATAGTAATAACAAGAATGATAAGGATAATAATGACAATAATTATAATGATGATAACCATAATAATAATTTTAATAATGATAGTAATAATGATAATAATAATATTAACAATGATGATAATAATGATAGTAAAAATAATAATAGTTGATAATAGGAAGAATGAAAATGATATTTATCCTTATTATAATAATAATTATTATTATTATTATTATTATCACCATTATTATATAGTAATAATGGTAATTATAATAATAATGATAACAATAACAATAATAAAATCAATGACAATTATAATAATTTCAACAGCAACAACCATAATGATAATAATAATGTTATATAGCTGTTGCAGTAGTAATGATAACAGGCATAATTATAAAAGTGATAATGATAATGACAACAATAGTAGTGATGATGTTAATAATGATGATAATGATGATAATGATGATGATGATGATGATATTACTACTACAACTAGTGATAATGTTAGTAATACGAACTTTAAAACCAATAATGATAATCCTAATAACAAAAGTAAATTGATAATAATAACGACCGCAATTAACATCTAAGAAGACCAGGTCACGCTTCATAAACGTCCTTCCTGCGACCTACATCTCCCTCCTTAAGCAAGCTCTGCGATCTTGCCCCTTCGCTCTACGCTCTCTAGCGGGTGGAACTGTAGTGTACTGATCCTTAGTTCATACGATTATATTACCATTATTCGTGTCTCACTGTACTGGAATGTATATTAGTAGCGCTCACTACCACCACCTGTTTCATACGTACGGGAACGAGGTATACTGTGGGAAGTGTCAGTGTGTAATTAGTATTGTGGAAAGGAGGGACATATTATGTACAAATGTTGGAGTATGTGTGGTGTAAAACGTATGAACCAGCGAGACAAAAAAAAATGGTAAAACGTAAGCTGAGGGAGGAGGACGAGCACGGGAATTTCATCACGTGTAATGGATTTGAGATAAGACTATTTCGGAATATTTAATGCTTTGCAGGTCGTCAGCAAAGATCATCGATTTCTATTCCATTACAGTTCATCTGCAAAGCTTTCATTTGCCATTCGCTTAAGAGAGTAAAAGAAACATCACAGAACACTTAATTCTTTTATTATAAATTGAAAAATTAAAAAGTTAAAGTTCATCAAATAATAATCAAATTTCATTTAACAGATTTACTAAAAAAGAACTGAAAACTAGTTCCTTTAAAACTTCAAAGAACATTGCAAATAAAAACGTATAAAACGCTTGGAAGCCACTATAAAAAAAGAAAGCACCAGCCTAGTATTCACTTGCTCGAATGTATATGCATCCAGATGAATGCTTTGCCACTAATAAAACACTTCTCACAAGCTAAAATACCTGGGAGGACACGTAGTCATACATACTGACTCTAGGGCAGCCATTGACTCTCTCAAGCTCAGCTCACCCAAAGACAATATCTACCTCCTGACCACAATACTAACAATAGCCCAAAGAATACTGGCTCAGGGTAGAAGAATCATTCTCAACTGGGTCCCTAGCCATATTGGCATCAGAGGGAACGAACTTGCTGACAGACTAGCAGTCTCTGGCAGGGGTATGCCCCCTAGTCCCATGATCATTGCACCTAGCCGTAGTTTACTTCGGAAGAAGAGTACTGGTGTCGCCAACTCCTTCCTCCTGCAGCTTCACAGAGAGGCAACAAGATCCTCCCCCTCGGCCAGATGGTATTCAGAAGCAACGGGCTATGAACCTCTGGCACTCTCTGAGTTAAAAAACAGACAAACCGAAGTCATTCTCCACAGAATGCGCCTAGGTTACCACTGTAAATGGCAGATAATTGAGACCATTATCCGTGAAGAGAGGTGTTGCATGCATTGCGGCGAGCCGAACGCCACACTTATACATTACTTAGAGAATTGTGTACACACACAATTCCTGAGACAGGGACCCCCGACAACAGCCGCCGTGCTGGTAAAGAGACTTTGCGGCTCTCTTACCCCGTGGCAGAAGGAGCGCCTGCTGGCAATCCCACCGCCACGGTAAGCACCGAGTGCCATAGAACGAAATGAGTCAGCCCTAAAAAGCTGACACAGGCCGGGCCATAGCCGAAGGCCCGGGCGAAGCTAGAACTTCGCAAATCACAATCGCATCTAAAATACATTATTCGAAGGTGTGCTGCAGTATCACTAGCTCCAGTATAATCCGTAAAACACATAAAAAAGGAGCACGGGCAGCAAGCTGCGTATCATACTATAAAGTTTCTATTTTATATTTTTGGCCAAACTAAACCTAATGGCTGTTTGTGAGAATATTAATCAAATGATAAATTAATCTTAAGAGATGAAGATTCTTCTTAAAAATGATAAAAGTTAAATGTTTATCAAAAGAAAACTTTTAGCTATAACTAAGTTATTGTTTCTTTCTTTGTTTCCCCAAGCCCTTAACACTGGTGCTCTTTGAGGTGATATCCGTGGCACATTGCATTAGGATGTGCTTCCATAATCTATTATTCTGACAATATATAGATTAACATAAAACGCAATAAAAGGAAACTTAATATCCCTGCTTATTATAGGGTATTGGTGCGCCCTCCTTTTCTCTAACAAGGAATGGTGTCTTTGCCTCTACGACAGACATGGCATACAAGCTTCAGCGCATCGTCCGCCCATCCAGCTTGTGTTAAGTGCAGTAGAGTGGACATGTCCCTACTTAAATCTGGTGGGGCAGCCCCGTAGAGTTTGTTCCATTGGGCCATTTTTCGTATTAACCGGCTTACATGAGGTATCAGGCTGCCGAGGGAGAAATCCATAAAATACATTTCAAAAACTTACAGTCCACTACAGAACCAAGCACCTGAAAACAAGATAATGATTGTACAAAATTATACAAAATAATAATGCAAATTTTACAAAATAATTATACAAAATTATACAGAATAATTATATAAAATGACAGTACTAATAGTAATAATAGTATAAATAATAGTAACAATAATAATGAGAAAAGTAATGATAATGATTATTTGATATAACTTATTCTGCTCCCTTTAATCACGATTCCTTTTTTATTCTTTTTTTTTTTTTTTTTTTTTTTTTTTTTTTTACTGATAGCTGATTATATAATTTTCATTATTAATCATTAGCACTTGATATAGCTTTTAAACAAATCATTCTCTTGCAATATAGGTACATAGATATACGCACAAAAGTTCGAATATTCATTTCCTTGAAGATTCATTTCAAGACGAAAGAAGCTTTTTCTGAGTTTCGTAAAAATAAAAAAAAAAGTTTTACTTTAACTACAGATTGTCCTATCAAAAAGGCCCTTCCGGAATCCATGAAAAAAAGAAAAGAAGTCTTGGTAAGCTAAAGAAAATCAAATTAGTAGATATGGATACATTTTAGCATCTACGTGTGTGTGAAAGAGCTAGTGCATAAATGGATGAAAGGGTAAGTGAGTGTGTGCGAGCCAGGGGGTGAGTGGGAATATAAAAACATGAAAGACTGCTACTTCAACGGCTGGAACTAAGTACATGGCCTCGAGGGGAGTCGCTGTATACAAAGGGAGGCATCCTCGTCCCTGGCAAGCAGACACCCATAAAAAAGACGTCGAAGCACAGGCGGAAAGTCTAACTCGCAGGAAAAACGTCCTCAATACCCGAGGAGAAGGGGATCTCGTAACCCCTGCCATTTAACCACGCGAAGACCATTGCGTCGTTGGTAGTAACGATAATGATGATATTGAAAACAACAATGATAATTATATGATTATGAAAATAATGACAATAACAATTACAATAATACTATTTGTAAAAAGAAGCATTAATGAAAATATGGTAATAATGTCATTCATAACAGTAGCAAGGATAATGAGCAAAGTAATAATGATAATGATTATATTAAAAAATAGTATCAATGATAATAATTATCTGATATTACCTCTTTTCTCTTCTATCACGGATATATATATATATTTTTTACTGAAAACTGAATGTATGATTTTCATGATTTATCATTAATATTTGATATAACTGTTGAGCAAGTCATGATTTTGCAATATAGATAGATAAATGTACGAATAAAAGTTCGAATACTCATTTCCTTGAATATCTATTTCAAGACGAAAGAAGCCTTTTCTGAGTTTCGGAAAATTATATAACTGCTCGTACTTTATATACAGACTATCTGAGCAAAAAGCTACTTTAAGAATACATTTAAAAAATGAAATCTTGACAAGATAAAGGAAACCTGTTCAGTAGTTACTCACATAAATGGATGAGGGTGAGTAATTGTGTGTGAGCGAGTGAGTGAATGCGTAAATGAGTGGGTGAGTGAATGCGTAAATGAGTGGGTGAGTGAATGCGTAAATGAGTGGGTGAGTGAATGCGTAAATGAGTGGGTGAGTGACTGTGTACATGTGTTTGTATAATGCATTTGGAAAGAGAAAGTAGTCGACCTTTGCTTAATCACAATCCGTAGGCGAGCTTGTTGCCTTGTGCTACGGCGTAGCTATTTTCCTGTTGGCACTTGACGGCTTCAGGTGTTTCCCGAAAGCACATTGTAGGTATGAGTTTTATCTTGCCTTGGTTCACACATACAAGACGTGCAGTTATTTCTCTTGTTAGTCTGTGGTTAACGTGATAAGAGTGTGCTTGTGTATACGAATCAGTATGGAGGAAGTTAGGCGAGTGGTTAGACTTCTTGAAGAGTTAATTTAATTTACAATTCGATTTGACGTATTGCTTGTGGGCTTGTAATCCTGAATAGCGTTGTGGTAATTCTTGGCTGTACGATCAATTCACAAAATTATTGGTGATAATTGTGATTATACAACGGACTTCATGATGAAAACTAATAATTGTAGTAATTTCTAATTAGAAATTTATGATTATTGTTATTAATCGTAATGATAATGACAACAGAACAAAGCATCGTGTTAGTCAAGAATTTTGTTAACTTTGTTAGTCAATTACTTTGGCTAACATTATCTATAAGTAACATTCCATAAGCCTAAGGATTGAATATTAGTTTCAGAACCAATCTCAAGTAGTTATTTAACCATCATATATAATACATGGATGAAACTCACGTCTGGACAGCTGGAAAATTAACTGCATTACAGGTTATTGAGGACTGGACACAGGTAACTGGGCGCAATATGGGTGAGTAAACATAGCACGCACTACCGCATAAACAAAATATAACTAGACGGAACGGTGAATAACTGGCCTCCGCGCGACTCTTTGCAGAACGAGCCACTCATGGAGATCCGCGCCCTCTTCCTCTTGTTCTTCGTCCTCTTTGGCGGCGATTCCTTCGGAAGAAGTACCGAGGGAGAGTCGGACCAAGAGGCCAGCCAGGAAGAGTCTATAGAAATTTCATCTTCAGAAGACTCAGGGGAAGCCTTGACGCCGTGGGAGCTAAGGGCAGGGCTGTCGGAGCGGAGAAAGAGGCACCTCTTGATACAAAGTCAAGGTTCGTGACTGAATCTGTTTACCGATTTATATCCGCTGGAGGTAAGATCGTATGTAAACGGACCGACACACACACATCTGTACATGTGTGTGTGTGCATATAGATTAATGATTTGCATACATATCGATTCCATATATATGCATACATATACACAAAAATATATATTTATGTATATGTATTATCGGCGTAGGGGCATTTAAAATTTAAGGGGGGGCTGCAAATTTTCTGCCCGAGTGAAAGAGGAAGAGAAATTTCACCTGTCAGAAAATTAGTGATGAATGCCACCAGTGGCGTAGATAGAGGGGGTCGGGGTGATGGGGATAAAAACCCACCTATAAGGCTAAACTGCCATTTTGTCGGAAAATTTCTGCACTTGTCGGAAAAATAACGATGGTTTTCTGTTTCGTTTAGTTCTAGTGGCCTTATGTTATGTTCAAAATAATAAAAAAATGAGAATTAGTGTCAAATTTTTGTCGGGATATCTTCATTTCTCGCCCCCTCTATGAATTTTCCTATCTACGCCCCTGCCCAAAATTGCCCGAATTCAAACAGCATTTGCCCGACTAGGGGGGCTGCAGCCCCCCCCCCCCCAGCCCTCCTGGCTCCTACGCCTATGTGTATTGTATCTATTTATTATCTATCTATATGTGAGTGTACGTGTGATTTATATATATTCATTCATGCATATAATAATATACTGTACTTATATACATGTATATGTATATATGTATATACACACAAACATATATGTACAAAAAATCATGAATATAAATAGAAAAAAAAGAATAATAATAATGATATTTGCAGCAGAGATTTCTCATTGTAAATCTGCTAATGCCTTATTTGCAAGTGAAAATAATTGTATGAGAGTACGTCACTAAATACCCAAATAAAAACCGTTTAGTATTTATGACATTTTTGGTTTACAATAAGAATGTGATGAATCATGATTCGTTCAGCGAGCTCTCTTGCAATTGAGGACTTGGAAAAGTGGTCATTACTAATGATTCTGCTTGCCCATCCTGTTACAAGCTACGCAAAGTTTTTATATATGTGTGTGACTGTGTGTAATATTTGATTTTACACATTTTGACTTCATCGCTCTTCGTATAAACAGGTTTTTATTCACATTTTCTCATTTCACCGAAAAGTATTCTCAGTATTTTCGAATCTGTTCAGGACACGTCCAACAGGACCAAGGGTCATCGGTCGCTCACACGCCAGGAGAGGGAGCCAGGGTCCCCGTGTTTCCTCAAGCTCCTTCGCCAGCTCTAGCTCCAGTTCCAGCTGCTTCGGCGACGACGACGGCCTCATACATCACCCGACTTTTTCCAGTGTTCATGTCGTCGCAGTTAGTGGGCGCTCCGGGCGGCGTCAACGGCCTGTATTCGCCCCCAACTACAGAACCACGCATAGACTCAGAAATTTGGGGTCTTGTCACTGATGACTCCCTTGAATGTATTGGAGATTGCGCGTTTAAAGGGCAGTTTGGAGGCTGTCAGACTGATATTGTGTGTAATTTTACCATGAATATTCAAATGTAGAAAAGGTATGAGAATTGAGAATGAATATTTGCACAATACCTTATCTATGTAAACAACTGTGTTTCACCCTTCCCGCCAGGTATCATTAATTAAGGCGTCATGAATACCTATTGTTTGACATATTTACTTTTATTTTACCTGTTCAGTTTTAATTGTGAATATCAAGTTATCCCTGCGTGTTTTATATGTTCTCCCTTTTTTCAATTGATACTCGTATTTTAATGTTTCAGTTTTACAGTCAATATGTACTAATTATAAAACAAAAAATCATACAACCGTGTTGGGGTACGAGAACGCTGGGCTGAGTATTTTGAGCAATTGTATCAGATTAGCCCTCCAGCAGTTAATTTGGGCGGAGTGGTGTCGCAATAACAGAACCTTCATATCCTGACTGAGGTTTGGGAGGCGATCTCGAAGCTGAGGCATATGTGTATCTCTATTGAATTACTAAAGGCTGGTGGTGAATTTATGGCGCATGGCTTGCAGGCTGTTCTGGTTACGATCTGGTAGTCCGGTACCATTTCCCCCGACCTGTTGACGGGTGTGACCACACCTCTTTAAAGTGACATAGCATACCAAGCAAGGTTCTCGTTCACATTCTTCTGAGACGTATCCGAGCCCATCTGCTGAGACAACAGAGACCGGAGGATTACTGGATTAATAGCAAGTCTGTATACTGGTGCTGAAAGTTATGTGTGTCGAGTTTCTTTTCTGTTAATTCAGGGGGGAGATAAGTATGTATTGTCACACCAACGCTTTTCAACACTCGCATGGACTGGTTGCTGGGTACAGCTTCATGTTTTTACCAATGAAATGAAGCTCTTGGGTTAAGGGACTTCTGAATATATATATATATATATATATATATATATATATATATATATCCAGATATACAGATATATACACACATGCGTATGTGTATATATATATATATATATACATATATATATATATATATATATATATATATACATATATATATATATATATATATATATATATATATATATATATATATATATATATGTATACATACATATATATGTATATATATATATATATATATATATATATATATATGCATATACATACATGCAACACACATACACACACACATATATATGTATATACATATATGTATATATATCTATGTATATAAGTATATATATACACTTATATGCATAAATATATACGGATATATATCACAAACACACACACACACTGCATATATATATATGGATGTGTTTGTGTGTGTTAAAACCGTGCTATTAATAAATGGAATAAAATGTATTTTACGTCTGTGTTATCTTTTATTCAGTGCTTTGCCCAATTTATTATCAGTGTTTGGTGTTTTCCTTCATATTCGCTGGTACTGCAAATACACAGCAACTTAATGTCATCACGAAAATAGTAGAAAGTGCCCACTTTATTTTCATTTAGTATACTTTTTCACTGGGGGTTTGATTTTTAGTTCTCTCATTATATATATATATATATATATATATATATATATATATATATATATATATATATATATATATATTTATATATATATATATATATACATATATATATATGTATATATATATATATATATATACATATATATATATGTATATATATATATATATGTATATATATATATATATATATATATATATATATATATGTATATATATATATATATATATATATATATATATATATGTATTTTTTTCCTGTACAATCTTTCTCTGCACTACTAGCCGCATTTATCCCGGGCCTACCGTGCCTTCGGAGGGTTCTTGCTCTCGGCCCACTCCACCACGCCCATGTCCTCCTGAACGGAATAGGAAGCATTGCGGCAGCTGACCGCTCAGGGTCACTCATTCACTCATACATATGGCTGAATTCGCAGCAGTTTCATGGTGAAATTAAAGTTTGTAAATAATAAAAATACATTAACTGGAAGTACTTAAAATAGAATCAAACCTGTAATGAAAAAAAAAATATATATATTAGTATACACTGAATATAAATATAGAAAAGTATATAAAAATATACACAATATATATATATATATATATATATATATATATATATACATATATACATATATACGGTATTGTAAATATAGTCCAATATAAAGTAGTAATAAAAGCATTTTAGTTAACTATTCACGGATGATAAACTTTGAAACAAAACGAAAGTGACTGAAATGAGGGAACTATATGCAACTGTATGGCTGGGCCGAGGAGCAAAAAAGTGCTTAGACAATTGGTTTATTTGTATTTTATATAATTATATAAACGGAGCAATTAAAAAGGTCGTGGTGGAAAATATATTAATGGGTGATACTAATTAATATTTTAGTATATTGACATGTGACATCTTTGTTTTGAGAGTGTTTGTGACGTAAGCGAGGTGACGTCGGAGAGGTGGCGCATTCCTCGCCCTTCACGCTCCTGCCTTCATGCCGGTGTCACGAATCAAGGCTCCCGCCCGAGTGAAGATCGCCCCGCACCAACTCGAGACACCCGAGTCTGCGGCAACCGCTTGGGAGACAGATCTCCGGACTAGCTTAGTGACCGTGAAAAAGACACTAATAAATCAAAGATTAAGTTTCATGCAGAGAGGCAACATGAGGGGTAGGATCTTCCACAGGGAAATGAGCTGAGTTAGCGATTTCGGATTATGGAAGTAACAGTTCCCATGCCAGTCTCACGGGGTAGCCGTCAGTTGAATACATGGTCCTGCCATCTGTACCCCTTGATCCGGCGAAGTGACTTGTCACAAAAGGCATCAAGACAAGACTCCACGGCACTAGATAGTGTCCTGGTTTCGCTGTGCTCCACACAGACATTGGATAATAGCTCTGCCCAATATCCAGTCCATGCAAGTGTTGAAAAGTGTTGGTGCATGGACATAGCCTTGCCTCACCCTTGAATTAACTGGAAAGAAATTCGACAGGCCTTCCAGAGAGAGATGACCATGCCCCTCAACAGGTCAAGACTACATCCAAGCCCCATGCCATAGGTTCACCCCCAGCCTTTAGCAGTTCAGCTGGGATATCATATTTGCCTGTGGCTTTCCCTCTCTTCAGCATAGAAATCGCCATCCTAACCTTAGTTAGGGTAGGAGGTTCCTCAATGATGGTTGGCTCTGGCACAGGTATTGTGATACCCCTTGGATTTAACTGTTGGAGGGTCTACCTGGTACAGCTGCTCATAAAACTAACCCCATCATTCATGAACCCCAACATGATCTGAGGTGATCTGTCCATCCACTGAGCAGACTGCAGCTATCTGCGAGGATGGCTTACAATTCAGTTTTCTCAGGGCTTGGTAGGCAGGGTGAAGGTCGTT